ACATAATTTTCGGAATTAGCATTCTAAAATATATCGGAAACTCTATATTTAATTTCAAAATATTTCTCATTACAATTTTCGTGCAACTTCCTCTCAACTTTGATTCGTAAATATGAGTCAAATTCGATTATAAATTATTTTCAATCAAACAGAGAGTTTCCAGTGCCTTTTTCTTATATGTTGATTCCAAAAGCCATGGTATTTTTCAATAAAAAAAAAATTTTTTATTAAATGATGGAAATGAACATTTTCTAAACATAATGAATATATCACTAATACTGAAAAGTCTCATGTCTATTTGTGTAATCTAACATCATTTTTTTTACTCTATTTAGACTGCTGGACAAGAAAGATTTCGATCAGTAACACGTAGTTATTATCGTGGTGCATCCGGTGCTTTACTTGTTTATGATATTTCAAAGTAAAAGAAAAAAAAGAAATTTTATTTTTTCTATGAAATAAATTGAATTTTAGTCGAGAAAGTTATAATGCAATCACGAATTGGTTATCAGACGTTCGTACATCAGCTAGTCCAAATATTGTCATAATTCTCTGTGGAAATAAGAAAGATTTAGAAGAACAACGTCAAGTAACATATCTTGAAGCTAGTCGATATGCACAAGAACATGGTAAAAATGCTTTTAAAATTTTTTTTTCTTTTATGTAAAACTTCGTTTGTAGATTTAATGTTTCTTGAAACATCTGCATTAACAAATGAAAATATAACTGAAAGTTTTCTTCAATGTGCTCGTATTATTCTCACAAAAATTGAATCAGGTCATTTAATTATTTTCACTCTTGATATAAATAAATTTCAAGTTTGATTTTTTAGGTAGTATTGATCCATATAGAATGTATTCAGGCATTCAATGTAATCGTACAGTTGCTGCTCAGCAAAATGAAAATTCACCTAATAATATATCACGAAAATCATCAATAAATTGTGCATCATGTCAAACATAATATTATTTATATCTATAAGATAAATATTCTATTTATATACTTATTTATTAATTTTTTGTTGATTCATTTTTTTTCCGAGTATATAAGACAGAAAACATTCCTTAATATTTCAAAAAAATTTATAATCATCTACTTTTGTTTTTTGTGGCTATTCTAATTATTGCTATCGCTCATGCTACTGCTACTGCTGCTGCTGCTTCTAATTTTAACTGGTATTGGCTTATAAAGAAGAGCATCATAAAAATAAACGATATACATATTTTATGATTAAGGATTTATGTCATTTGTTTACTTTCTGAAGAGTACTATTAAGGTTTATAGAGTATTTCGATGACTAATGTGCATTTGTCCTTGTACAGGTCACGCATCGAACTATGAAATGATCGTGAAACAAAACCGTTAATTGCGGCTAGAAATCTACTAGTGATTCGATAGTTTTCGAGAAATATTTTGGAAATGTCTTCTGCCACTGTGCTGCATTGGAACTGTTAGATTGACCTCATCACGATTCCAATTGTTGGACTTGTAGACACTCTAATCCAGTGGAATTTCATGGAATTTTACCATCATCCTATAAAAGAAGCTGCTGCTGCAATGATAGTATTTTTTGAAAATCGTTCGCGCCCCTTTCGGCATAACTAGTGTGAAGTTATTGTGAACGTAATAGGTAAAATCGTCAATGTATTTATTATTTTCATCATAAAGATTATAAACTAACGACATCTATAAATTGAATAAAAAGATTATAATTGAATTAAAATAAATTTCATGTTTGTAATTTAATTAGAAAGAAAAAAAATAAATATATTAATAAAATTTGGATTAAAACTCTTTGGTTTCTAAGCAAACAGTTTCCTTGGTGATAGAATAATGATGACTATCTGTTGAACTGTGGGTTTGTTCTTGCTTAGATACGATTCTGATTGATAACTAAACAAGTCATTAAAAGAAAATGGTATGTTATGAGACCAAAGCGTGTGAAGAAAACAGTTTTTTACATTATTATCTAATATTTCTGTCATATGCTTAGTCGACCGATGAACGGTATTGTTTCACAGGCGAATGGTACGATCCTCAAGCGTCAATGACTCGCACTTATCAAGTGCTTTTTTATCCATCGGATAATAGTATTGAAATGGTGAATAGAATTCTTCATTTCTGTGGAATATTTTTGTAAATTTATACTTAGTTCTTGTTTTTAGTTTGACGTTAAAACTCGCCGAGCATTTCTAAAACGTACTAAAAGTGAAGCAACAAAATTAGCTGATTTTTTTATTGGTAATACAATAAATATATTTTCTCGTTCAATAAAAATTGTTGATTTTGGCGATGCATTTACTGCTCGATGTATTGGCAAAAATCAAGAAAGGTTAAAAACAAAAGTGTTTTGATCTTTTGATCGTTTTTCTTTATTTAGAACTTTAGCAATTATAAAACCAGATGCTATACGCAATTTAGGTGATATAATAAGTGCTATTTATGAAAATGGTTTTACAATTGCACGAATGCGAATGATTAAATTATCACAAAATGAAGTAATGTATTTTTATGGAGAACATAAAGCAAAAGATTTCTTTCCGTATGTTTTCTAAACTTCATATTGTCATATCTAATAGTATGATGATATATATATTTTTTTTAGACGATTAGTTGAATTTATGACCAGTGGACCAATTGTTGCTATTGAACTTGTTGGACCTGATGCAATTAATCGTTGGAGAAGTATGATTGGACCAACTGATTCACTAAAAGCAAAAGAACAAAGCCCACATAGCCTTCGAGCAAGATTTGGCTCAGGTTTGAACTTATGAATAAGTTGATTTATAAGATAAATTGATTATTTAGATGGAACAAGAAATGCTTTACATGGATCAGATTCAGCAACAAGTGCACAACGAGAAATTTCATTTTTCTTTGGTTCAAAATATGGTACTAATACGGCTTGTTATAATGATACAACATGTTGTCTTATTAAACCACATGCAGTTGCTGAAGGTAAACAAAATTAATTAAAGAATGTATGTTCTTAGTTTCCAAGATTTGATTATTTGTTCTTACAGGAAAAGCTGGACAAATTATTAATGCTATTCTTACTGCTGGTTTTCAAATTTCTGCTATTGGCACTGTAAGTCAATTATATCTAGAAACTTATTTGTGTACATCCTTTTGTTCTTGTTTTCAGTACAGTTTAGATAAAGTTAATGCTGAAGAATTTCTCGAAGTTTATAAAGGTGTTGTTCATGAATATCCCGTAAGTAATTCTTTTCTTACGAAAGAACATATCTAACTGTTGGACACCATTTGACTTCATATTATGGCTATGAATAGATCTCGATGAAACTAGGACAAGCTTAAAAGGGTTCGAACGTTATGGTCTGCTGGTAAAGAGCTATGGTCATTTTAATGAAATTTTGACTAAGAGCAAAACATTTTCATAAAACTCAAAACAAAGAGTTTCGACTTGAAAATTTCAAAAACGAACATGTCTGTCTTATTACGTTCAATATTCAAAAAAGCAAGGAGTTACGATGCGAAGACTCAATACTCGAGTCTATTTGAATTTTGAATATATCGAGAAAGAGATGTTCATTTTCGTTGAAAATTTTAGGTCGAAATTCTTTGCTTTGGATTTTTCTAATAATGTCTTGTTCTCAATAAAGATTTCATTTAAATGGTCATAACTTTTTATCAATAGGCCATGGGCCCGAATACTTTTAAGCTTGTTTGATGAAAGAAATTCTCTAACTGTTCAATTGCTTTTGAGTCGCAATTATTCGCATTAGATTGGTCTAAAAGAGTTTTGAGTACTTTGGGAAGAGTTCGTGCCCGTATTTTGGTGTTGGGAAGATACCGTGCACTCACAATATTTTTTAAATAAGTGCTGTAGTAACTCGAAAACTGATTTTCGGATCTCGATTTGAAACTCTCTATAGAGATAACTTTAACGAGAAAAGTTTACTGTGAAAATTTCAAGTTTTTTGATTTGCTTCTATTCTCGAAATAAGAACATCAAATCTGCTAGTTTATATGTGTGATGTAAAAGACACACTATTGAAATAGTTGTATCTCGATATTGGAATATCGAAAAGATCTGAAATATTTAGAAAAAATACTATTCTTGTTCAGGCCTTTCTCTTTTCAAATTTTCCAGTCAAAAATCAGTTTTTTCTATAATCATGGCATTCATTGAAAAAATATCATAAAACTGCAATGCCTCCGCAGTCATCAGCTAAGGGTAAAAAATTTTTCAGGACATTCACAGTTTATTTGGATTAATATAAATCACATAGTGTCGACTTAAAAGTTACTGAACAGTTGAATGACTTCACTCGTTAGTCTCACCAAGACCTACTTATAGCCATAATATGAAGTCAAATGATATTCGACAGTTGGATATGTTCCTTCACTATTGAGATCTTAAATATTCCTTCTTTTTTTTCATTAGAAAATGGTTGAAGAATTAATGTCAGGTGCATGTATTATTCTTGAAGTTCGTTGTCAAAATGCTCAAGCAGTTTTTCGAGATTTTTGTGGTCCCGCTGATCCGGTATGTTAATAATGTAATATCTATTTGACGTAGTCATTTTTTTTTATCAAGGAAATCGCTCGTCATATTCGTCCGAGAACATTGAGAGCAATATATGGGAAAGATAAAGTGAAAAATGCTGTTCACTGTACAGATTTAGCTGAAGACGCAACATTAGAAGTAATTAAATATTTTGAAGTTGTTCTTTTTTTCTTTCTATTCTAAATTTGCCTTATTTTTAGGTTGAATATTTCTTCCGAATTTTGGACAATTAATAAGTGAAAATTTTCTTTTTAACTTTGGATTCCTTTTCTTCAAGTATTTGCGAATAAAAAACAAATAATACTATCATATCTTTAACGGATTATTTTTTTTTCATAAAAGTTTATATAATGAAAATAGAATGAAGTAAAATACGAAGTCTTTATTTGTATTGAATATTCATTAATCATTTGTGACTAAAAAATAACAAAACAAGATCCCTTAATAAATTAAAATTGTACGAAAAATATCATTTACGAGGTGGTAATGGTCTTTGTCGACCACGAGGTATCTGATGTTGATAAATGACATCAGGTGATATCGATGTTGGTTCATACATTGATGGAAAAGAATATTGTTCATAGTTTGATGATTGTACTCGTTGTTGATTTTGTCGAGCTTCTTGACCATTGGAAAGGTCATATGATGTTGATGTAATTTGTGGTATTGTTGGTCGAATAGTATCATCATGACTTGAGGATTGTTTTTGTTTTCGATGAGTAAATGGTGATGATGATCGTTGCCGAAGATCAGTATATTTAGTTTGCGATATTGAGTTTCGGATGGTTTGGTCATTAGAAGGTGATCGAAATTCCAGAGGAGTTTCGGCTTCTAGAAAGTATTTGTATTTATGTCAAAATATTTTTGAAATGACAATGTTTCTTTTTGTGTCCAAACAGCAATGTATTTGTATATACAAACCCTTGACCTACCTTTTGGTTGAATTTTAGTACTACCAAAAGTTTCGATGTCTAGTGTTAATCATTATTCTATGTAAATGTTTTATGTGATTAAAGATTCCTTATAGACAACTAAAATAAGACAGTTTTTATATATTTCGCTTACGATATTTTGGCTTAGAACTGCATTTCCATAAAATCAGACCAATTATTCCTCCTAATAATAGAACACCAAGAATCGATCCAACAATAATCAATGCAATTTTCCATCCAGCAAGAGATTCTATTCATAATTTTCCAAGAAAATAAAATTTAAGAATTAAATAAACGACTTATTTCATACCTGATGTATTGGTCGGCGCAGTCGTATCTGTTAAAAATGAGGAAAATAAACAATCATGTTTAGTTATTATAGTTTTTTCAGAAATTCTTTCACATATGATAGCAAGAAGTCGCATGCAATTATTTTTCTAATCAAAATGAAAGATAATTCTTGGTCAGCATTGCTATCGTTTTATGTTTAAAAAGTAGAGAATATCTTTCATTCCCACTTTTCTTTGGTATCATAATGAGACAGTTTTTTTTACTAGACTCCAATCGCTTAAAGTGATTTAAAGGCTTCCCTCTCCTGACCCAAAAAGCTTGTTTTTTTGCTATCAAAGTTTTATTTATAGCGGTATGTTGACGTGTCCTACATCAAGTGCCGTATAAGTCCTGAAAAAGCTTAGTTTCAAGGACGCCTATCGTGAAAAAAGCCTATGGTTCTTTCAAGTAGTAATCTCGTTTATAATTCCTACAAATTCAAGAAAGGAAGACGGGGGAAGTGCCCACTGAAATAGATCAACAGAATAGTTTACTATGTTTTATTTCAACTGTTTGATTTCTTAGTGTTCAGTTATGCTTACTTAGATATGAGCCGTATTAATATGATTATAGTTCAACATAGTTTTACGTGCCTTATTTCATCGATTAGAGGACTCATAAAATTAAGTTTAAACAACAGAGTGAACAACTATAACAATTATAAAAGATACTTTTAATGACTAAATCTCCATTTCTAACTTTAGGTTTTGCTATTACATTTTAGTTAGATTTAGTTATATAAACAAAAAAGAAAATGGAACTTTTTTTACGTCATAATCAAAGATGATATCAAGTCAAAATTCATACGTGTATACACCTAATTTAAACGTGGTCGTGATATTAACCCTTTGGTTACGGGTTTAATTTTCGAGATACAATTTTATGAAAAATGCTTCTGATGTTAAAACACATATTTAGTCTATCTATATGTGTCACGACGAGAGGAAAGGACAATATAGAAGAAGAAACCCACAACAACAAAAAGAAAAAGAGAAACGACAGACTTTCAATAGTTAACTGAACCTATATTACCGCTAACAATCAAGTATCATATATGATACTCCAGTAGCCAAAGGGTTAATTATGCGATCGATTCAATCCAGTGAATTTGATTTCGAACGTGTAAAAGAAAAATTACAAATACAACAAGATTTTTAAACGATATATGATTATGTTTAAAAAAAAACAGAGTTCATTGTGACGTATTCTAGTTCAATTAAATTGACTTATGCTTTCTTGATACTCGCTAAATATATGTTGTTCTTTCTGAGTATCTAATTGCAAGTCAAGTTCCTGAGTCGAATCAGAAAGAAAACGAATATGAAGTACAACTCCGATTAAAATTGATATAAGAATAACTAAACCGCTCTCTTTAGGTAAAAAATGAAATCCTCTAATGAATTAAGTTGAAGAGTAACTGAATCAACCAAAAGATAGAAATAAACTATTATTGAATTATATCCTTGTGAAAAGCTTCCTTGTGTACTATAATCCTAGCACGATAAAAAACACACAAGACAAGTATAGAAGAAATACTAATGAAAAGTAAAATCAGAGTAGTACTTCTCATAATCAATAGAAAACATATTCTGTCCCCCTCAAAAAAAGAATATAGACCAGAAAACAATGCCAACAAACATTGATTAGAATTTGCTCGATATTTTCAAGCAGATGAGCAAGCAGAATTTTAGAATATTGTGAAAAAATAATAAAATAGTAACGTTAAAAAAAAGAAAAACCTTTTTATTAAAAGCAAAAGTAATGGCAACACTGTTCTTGGTTAACATAATCGTACTAATCGAAGAGAAAGTAGTATTTGGTAATTCTGAGGAGACAAGAAACGGAATAGTGATACTATCTATGTAGAGGATCTGCTTGATGATGCTGATGAATATATGCTATCATTGTTGTTGATAATGCATTCTGAACTTTTAACTTTACTTGTACCTGATTGAGTACTTGTCAGTTCTGAAGGTGTAATTTTATTTGTACCTGATTGAGTAATTGTTAGTTCAGAACCTGATGAATTCATGGTAGACGGTTCAACACTGGTGGCTGCTGAAATTATGCTTTGTTGGATCATATTGTTTCGTAAAAAAAAACAACATGTTTATTTTTCTTCTTATGACATCGGAAAATATTTGATGTATTACTTAATTGAACAGTCCCCCTCGACCCCCGCCCCCTCCCCACCCCCGTTCTGGAGTTTCTTGGGAACGACTCGACGAAAAATGATGAAACTTTCAAAGCAGATAGGCCTTAATAAATAGAGCAAAATTTGTCATAAATTTTAAGCTCATGGATGCTTCCTACAGGAAGATATAGAAGTAGCAAAGATCAAAAATGGCTGAAAGTTTTATTTCTGGCAAACCTCTTTATTTCATTTTTTCGAACTGTCATTTGTTTGCGACAAGTAGGATAGAATTCGAGTGAATGTTTTAGTTTTTCTTTCAAAAATATTGCGCCTAAAACTGAGAAGAAATCAAGTAAGGGTAGCACTGTGAACAAATGTATTTCTTTTCAATCATACTGCTTTTCTACAGGATTCCGAATTTCTTAGGAAAAAAATTTTGAAAAAAGGAAAAAAAGAACACGCACTGTAATCTAATCAGAGTACTTATGAAAACCTTGGTCCGATCAGACATACTGTGTGGAAGAAAAATGGGAAAACTTTGGTTTTTTTGTTTGGAAATTTATTTTGAGAAAAACGCGAAACAATGTACATTTTTCGCTATTTTCGTTATGTAAATTGTATTTCTTCTCAGTTTTTGAACACTTACAGACAATTTTTAGATCCCAAAATGTATTTTTAGTAGATAGATATCGCCTCAGACTATATATAATAGGCACAGGAAACCAAAAATTCGGGTCATAAAAAAAGAAAGGAACGTATCCTTAAGAATATCTCTTACCCTCATATATACATGGTTTAATATTAATATCAAACCGATATTTTGTATAGATAATGTCATACACAATTGACAGATTAACAAAAGTCGAATTCAATAAGTCTTCTGATGTGAGCGAGTAATTGTTCAAACCATTGAACGTATAGTAGCATCGATCTCTAGCAGCAGTTGTATTCAAACAGTACGAGATATTGCGTACACATTCTACATTAGTATTGTGTTGTATTAAAATTGTACAATTATCAGGTGTGCCAGACGTTATTATGTTCGGTTCTTTGATTAATGATACGTCTGAGAAGGAAAGAAAATAGCGACATGTTAATAAATCATGAATATAGAAATAATAAATAACGGGTGATCGACAATCTTTTGGACAAAATGTTGAAAGCCAAAACATATATATAGAACCTATCGAAATAATTTTTTTACTGATTATATAGCTTGCCGCATTTTCTATCTATACTATTAATTTGAGACTTTTCGATCGATCCATTGTTGTCAAAATGATTGATCTTCATAAACGTGGTTTTTCTATGCTTGAACAAAATAAAAATTTGAAAAAAATTGATATACTAAAACATTTTGCAGAAAAGCTTTTCCATAAAGTTGGAACTTATGTTTCTTCTATTCAACAAATATTTATTATAGAAGTTTGCTCACATAAAATACACACAACATAAATCTAAAAAATTACATACACTGTAAACTAGAAAATAAGTTATAGAGTTTAATGAAGGATATTCTAGGAATGCCCATACGAATTCAACGATTAATTTCTACTTTCTTGAAAATAAACTATTGATATTCAAGTTTCGATTTTCTGCAGAAAATCAAATTGAATTTCTATTATTTAGAAAATCAAGCATTTTTTGAAAGTTTAAAATTCGACGAATGTATAATAAAAGTTTGAAAATGCTTTAGCTTATTTAAAGTCGATTTTCTACAAAAATAGAAGGCCACCCCCCGTATAAGGCCATGCCCGAGCAAAAGTTCAAACGCCCTATTAGAAGGCCATGTACTAATTAATTAATATATTCCAAAATTAATGAATTTTTCATAAATATTAATTAATAATTAAGGAAATATAACCGATTTTCTAATGTTTCTTTTTGCGAAATCCTTTCTTTCCTATCATAAATAGTACAGTTTTTACAAAAAATGGTAGTTTTTCAGCAAAAAACCTAAAAAACAATAAATAAAGTTATTAATTAATTATTAATTTTTTAAATGATGTTAATTAAAAACTGGTCAAAAATTGACCCCCAATAGAAGGCCATCCAAAAAGTAGCGATGTGCCAAGACACTGTATAAGGGCATGCCCTTTTATTCTGGGGAGGGGGGGGGGGGGGTAGTCAAAGTATTGAAAATGGTCATTTGTCTTCTATTTTTCGTAATTTTGTTCTTATGGTCTCCATCATTATAATACGAATTTTTCTTCTTTTGGTTCAATGCTACGTGTTAGAAAAGACATGTCCATGCATTTTTCAGATAGTTAATTGTTGGTACGAAAAAAGATCGTTTGTGTCAAGGAGAGGGCTGGACGATATTTCTCAAAATCGAGAAATCGTTCTCATTCAAGCAGAAAGGCTTCACGCCATACAAAGTCAAGCAGAAATGTTTTAAAGAGAGAAAAACATCCCAATATCAAGCTTAACAGTTAAACAGAGAAAAACAGTATAGCAGAAATGGAAACGTTGCTAGGAGAAATATGTAAACACATTCTCTCTTCTCCAGCAGAAAAGTATAATAATAAAACGAGAAATGTATGAATGATTTCCCTTTCTCCAGAAGAAACTGATAATAGATAAGCAGAAATGGTAAAATGTCTTCTATAATGTAAGCAGAAATGAATAAGATCCTTTTTCCTTCTAAGGAGAAGTTCTAGCAGAAATGGAAAAGTTTCAAGGAGAAATGTATGAACGATTCCTCTTTTCTCCAGAAGAAACTGATAATAGATGAGAAGAAATGGAATATACGTAGAAGAACGATGAATCATCGATAGATATACATATATACGTATATGTATATGTTAATTTTTCCATTTCTCCTTGTTCTGCGTGACTTTGTGTGGGGTAAAGCATTTCTCCTTAAAGTCGAACGATTTCTCGATCGATGGATCATATTGTCCACTGCTGATCAAGGAACAATCACTTCACTTGTGAATGTGATACATGAAAGACACGTGG